GGGTGGTTGGGTGGTTGGGTGGTTGGGTGGTTGGGTGCCACTACTGTACTTCTCTAGTCATATATCAAAAGTGATCGTAAGTTTGAATACATATTATTTAATACATTTGTATGGATAGAGTCGGACATCGCTGGATCCACTTTCATGGCCGCCGGGTCTTCAGCTCCAGAATTGGCCACTTCTCTGATTGGAGTATTTGTGGCTAAAGATGACATTGGAGTGGGAATGGTTGTGGGATCAGCTGTCTTTAACATCGCCTTTGTCATCAGTATTTGTGCCCTTTTTGCCGGTCATGTGGTTGTTATCAATTGGTGGCCAATACTTCGCGTCTCTTTCTTCTATTTGATTAGTATTTGTGTCCTCTTTATCGCAATGTTTGACGGAAAGATATCACTCATTGAATCCATTGTCTTTTTGGCCATTTATGTCATTTACATTTTATTTGTGGCTTATAATAAACAAATTTATAACAAGTTTTGTCACAAATTTCATGGTTTGGCTAATATTTCACGCGAATCTTCTGATTCAGTCATTTACAAGACATTATCTAAAACGAAAACCTCTGATGAAGTGGACATATCTAATGCTAGTATAGACATTGGTGCCAATGTTAACTACAATACAAACTCAATTGATCAACAATTGCACATAACTTCAGATAAGTGCCGACAAACAGATACATCGTTAGAAGACTCACAATCAAAGGCCAAACTTGTGTGGAATCTATTGATTAAACCATTGAATCTAATTCATTGGATAACTGTTCCCGACTGTAGGGATGAAAGCAAAAGGAATTGCTTTGGATTCACATTCTTGATGTCTTGCGTTTGGATTTCTATTTATTCATATTTTATCGTTTGGATGATGACTTTAATTGGTATGAAATGATCATAAATACAATTGAATGCCATTTAATATAATTGTTAAATTTAGGATTTAATTTACACATTCCCGACACAGTGATGGGTTTAGTTTTCATAGCATTTGGCGCCAGTCTTCCCGACGCTATCGCCAGCCTTCTTGTGGTTCGTCAAGGGCTCGGAGATATGGCTGTGACTAATGCTATCGGCAGTAATGTGTTTGATATATTGGTTTGTTTAGGAGTTCCATGGTTTTTAAAGACTGCTATAGTTGATCCAGGATCTAGTGTAACCGTCTTTAGCAGAGGTATACTACAGTACATGTATATCATTATAAAACTAACTATAAATAAGAGTATGTCATAATTTATTATTTCATTCAATATCAGAATAGTTTTTCATTTATGGGTAAATTTTATTACCGTACAATCAAATATTGCATATTATAAAAAATAGCAACTAATATTAAAATTTTACATTAATATTCAAATATTAATATTCTAATATTTTCACTGTATAAGTTAGTTTTCTAACTTACTAGTTAATGGTTATAAAGGATTTGAGGTTTACTGTATGTGAAATATCTTAAACTTAATGTTGTATTATTTGGTGCATTACAAAGAAGTGTCATTTCAGGTTTAAGAAATATCAGAAAAAGACTTTAAGTTTAATACTTATTTAGTCTATATTTCCCCAAATAAGNTTTCAGGTTTAAGAAATATCAGAAAAAGACTTTAAGTTTAATACTTATTTAGTCTATATTTCCCCAAATAAGAGAATACATACAGTATATAAAACAACAAAAATTATCAGTACATATTACTTGTATTTATTTTGACTTTTAAATGAATGTCTTTCTCTACATAATAAAGGTTTGGAGTACTCGACAATATCCCTGCTCACAACTGTCGTATTCTTCTTAGTAATCACTCACTTGAACGGCTGGAAGCTTACACCAAAATACGGTCTTATTTTAATGGTATGGTATTTAGCCTTTATTTCATTGGCCAGTCTTTATGAACTCAATGTCTTTGGATATCTCAATCCTCCCGTTTGTTTCAATGGCTATTGATTGCATGAGAATCTCATATTAATTTGATTCAATTGACAATATATTGAGTACCAGTATATGTGGGCCGGTATTCCAATTATGATAAGTAGGTATATATATATGTGCCTTTCTAATTATCTACCTTAAATAATCCAGGCAATATTAATATTTGCATTATTTAAATATTATTTTTATTGTAACAAAAATAATAGTTGATATTATTTTATTACTATTAATAGTTCAATAATATTTTTTTAAATATTTTGAAAAAACTTTTATTTTGTATTAATATAAATTGTAATTTTAAATCCTATATATTCTGTAAAACTTTTATATACAGTAAATATAAAACAAGATATATTTAAATCTAAGCACTCAAATGTATGATAATATGAATACGACTTGATTGCCACTAAAATTTCTCATTTATAATAAGATTTGTAACCATTTGATGCCATGAGTTTATTCTATCAATAAAATAAAACCTTATTTTTTGTTGAAAGCTCTTGAAATTGCATTATAAATATCAGAGAATCGATTCCTTTCAACTGAATTGCATTAAAATTATATAAAGTGAAGTTTGTGTGAAAATATATATCAAGGTTATATTTAAATC